GAGCTACCATCCATTCAATGAATCCATTTGAATCTTTTCCAATCAGTAAGTGCTCCAACTACAACTGGAATTGTTAATGTCTTCATGTGCCACATTTTTGAGATTTTGATTTCAAAGGTCCTTGTATTTTTTTTTTTTTTTGAAGATCTCCAAAGATACATTGTAGTCCGTAGGACCGCCATATCAATAAGGAGGTACATTTTGTCTTTGCAGTTTCTAATCATGGTGTCAGAGTGATTGTTTTTGATTGTTCAGTTCTGTGTGTATTGTAAAATCTAAAAATTGTTACAGGTCTTATCTTTTGTAACTGGGTCTGGGTGATGTTCATACCACTTTCTTGCAGTTTCCTTCCAAAAGTTGCAGATTTTCCAGTGTGAATATTGGCCCTCTATAATAATTATTATTATTATTATTATTAATATCATTACCTCTATCATATCTTTTATTGATATTATTTTACCTGTTATATATGAAGGTTTATATTTTAATCCAACATTATTTCTTATTACTATAAATGTTATTTTTAGTGTGTTCACATGTTTGAGTTGCTATTCCCTGTTATTTTTTAAATCATAAAATTAATGTCAACCAACCAAGAAATCAAAAAGTCGTTACTAATGAAAAATATGCCACCTAACAGGAAGGAATCGGAACCTGAATTCTTTTCCATCAGGGAAACCACTTTTAAATTAAATTGTACCGACCAATTAGGCCATGAAAAAGCCACGACACGGTTACCACTTAGGAAATGTGCATCTAAGACTCTTCAAAGTTTATATTGGCTTGCTTTATTTTTGTACCCAAAACATAAACAAAGTAATGTTGTTGTTTTTTTTTTTTTAATGGTTTTTAAAAATCTGATTTTATTTCTTATTACTATAGTATAAATGTCATTTTTAGTGAGTACATTCAAGCTTTTGAAGATATAAGATCTGTGTTGATTAAAACGTATTCCAAAATTAACGGGAACTGCAAAATTTAATTGTTGATAAAATAAATGCACCTTTTTGACAATGTTTGATTTTGAAATCCACTTATAGGAAACCACTGTTCGCCTAGTGTACTTTAGTCCACTCAGTCATGGAAAGCTTTCACAATCAAGATTGCTTTTTATTTCAAGGGTTCTCCTGTTCTACAATTCAAATTAGATAAATTTTCTAAAATACATGGATTACATATGTCATGAATCTTAATATCTAGGAACTGATGAAAGATTTTCTAGAAGAAACTTTTAAAAACCTCAGTGCAATACACATTAGTTATTTTTTTTTTTATTGTTATAACACCTGCCATAATTAGTGTGTTGGTGGTTTATTTCTTCAAGCGGTATCATTACTTGTATTTTTTGGTCTCAACTTAAAATTAATGCCTATCCACTTGTAAGCATTTGGAGACTTTCAATTGTTTAATCTGTTAATCAGAAATGAGGTTTATTTCAGGCTTGATCTGAACCTTTATATAAAACTATTATATGAATAAAAGCTAAAAAGATTTGCTATAACAGGTGAAACTGAAAGTTTTTGTTTTAATAAAAAAAATATGTACACAAATTTGCACCAAATTCTTTGCATATCTGTCCTCATTTTTAATCTATTCATTATATATCAGTTAGTGAAAAAATATCTTTGTTGTAGGCTGGTTAGAATATATTATAATGTAGACTATATAAAAAATATTAGGTTTAGTCAGTGGCAATTTCTGTTTCTGTAATTGATTGTTTTTTTTATGGTTTCAACTCTTTTCTGGCTTATTTAAAAATAAACATTTCAGATCAGGAGTAATTTTTTGAGTGAGAGTAGAAATTTATCCTTTTTTCCTGTTTAGGATTGGGATTCAGTTCCTTTCTAAAGTCTTCATGCATTCTCTTTCACTCTCACTTTCAAGTTTTTGTGTCTTAGTGGCTTTTTTTTTTTGTGAATGAATATTGCATCAACAATTTTATTTTTTTTTTGAATAACAATAGATTTTTCTAGAACAAGTCCTACTATTTAATCTACACAAATGTGGGAAGAGATGGATTTTATATTTAAAGTGTATTAAAGGAATGTTAGCAAACACAACGGTAATTAGAATCAATCTCCAATTTCTTTTTGTTTAAAGCTGCAATCCATTGCAAAACACACACAGATCCTGTTTTAGGAACTGATTGCAAGGACAATGAAGTAGCTAATCATGCATGGAGGTTATGTGGGAAATTAGTGTACACTAACATACCTTATTTTTTCTATGGTATACAAGGATTAACGAATGCATTTCTTTCTTCCACTAATGGAAGAATTGAAAATACATTATATCATACGATGGAGTTCAAACAAAGAATAACACTACAGAGAAATCACGAGAAATATGTAGTGTTTATGGTCAAAAAGTTATAACTACGAGCAGCAAGTGAGAAAGTGTTCATGATGATTTCATTTAGAGAAATGTTGTTGGCGGGTCATTGCACTTTGATGATGAAGCTCTAAAGTAATTAGCGGAATACAGTCCAAAAGCAAACTACGCAGAAATTAGCAAAACGTTAAGCGCATCACAATCTACCATATGTTGACACTTAAAAAGATAAAGAAAGTCAGCAAGCTGGGTATTTTGTATACCATAGGCTCTTAACGAAAAGAACAAAGCAAATCTTTATTAAGCAAAAACTGAAGTTATTTATGATTCAACCCTAACAGTATGACTTTGAAATCAGCAAGTAAACTTTTAGACTATTGTAAGTAAAAAAAGCCAATGTGCCATTTATTATGGCAATTTTCTGAGCGTAGCTTAGATGTGGCACAAGGCTGAATGTATGGAGTCAACTAGTGGGGATTGAACTTAAACTAGTCGTAATTGATCTAGTGAGATAAGTTTGCTAACAATTACACCTCATTGAAATACCATTTACCTAAACATAGCTTAGATGTGGCACAGGGGCCAAAAGTATGGAGCACCCAGTAAGGATCAAACTCTCTACTGAAAATGTAATTGAATATGCCATTTATTATGCATACCAGTAATATTTAATTCTTTGAGGTTATCTTACCAACAAATATGCTTTTAGACCTAAAAACCAATTTAAAAAGAAAAAAAAAAGAAACATGAAAGAAAATCCAAGATTCAGTTGCTACTTTGAAAAATCTCATTAAACAATTATTCTGCATTTTAATACTAGTAACCCAGTGACCCAAAGAGCTATTCTGGTGGGAGTAATACTTTTGGCAGGTCTGACTAAGTTAGGCATGTTAGAGGGTTAACGATCAAGACTAAATGAGAATTAGAAATCGTGAGGATCCAGAACAGTGGTTGTACTGATTTGACTTAGTCAAGTGGTTCTAATTTGCAACTAACAGTGAATCACACACAATACTGAAATGTTAAAATTTCTAGGATAAACCAAGTTGCCAAAGAGAATTATTGCTGTGACTACAGTATTGGCAAACCTAGTCAGTTCAAATGAAACTGAAAGATTTGTTATCATTCTGTGGTTTTTATTAGTACTTATATGAACCCTGCATTGTTTGCTGTCTGGTCATACTGGATGCAATGAATTATCAACTGCTACGGATAATATGTTTTATTGGTGTTTTAGTCAAGTGAATTTGACAGTGATGTGTATTTTCATCTTTGTTGTTTTTTTTCTTTTTCTTTTTTTTTTATTTAACAGTATTCCACTGTCAAAAATATACTTTGGCCTTTTAAATTGATATCTGAGATTTTTGAAATTACTTAATTTTATCCAATCTACAAGAAAATCACCGTTTCAAACTATTGACAGGACAACAAATGAACATTATCAAATAATATACACCCTAAAAGACCAAATAACAGTGGACATTAAGATTGACATTTTGGTATTTTGTAATAATTACCAAGGATATATGCTATATTTTTATGAATGCCGAGAGTATAAAAATTTCAAAACTTGTTCAACTTTATTTTAACAAGTATTTGTCAAGTTATGATTATTTGTATTTAATCAAAACTCAAAAATGTTTAATCATTTATTTTGGGATGATCAGATCTGGATAATTTTGTTTATCTTTTTTATCTTTTTTCTGGGAAAGTCATTGGAATTTTGATAAAATGAATAAAGGTTACAGACAGGTTTAACTTTGACACTCTTTGCTAAAATGAAATATATCAAGTGGATTTTGGGATTCTACAACACAAAATTCAGTCAACACATTTTTCTGCCTGTTTTTTTTTTTTTTTTTTTTTTTTTTTTTTTTTTTGTTTCTTCTCTCACTTCAAATAGCATTCACAAAAATGCCTGGAACAAAATCTTTTTTTCCTTTTTAGTGTAAATTGTCAAATATTAAAACAATTTAAATTTGAAAAATGTAAGAAAATTGTACCCAGAGGATATTTAAAACTTATATAGTTCCTTTCATACATTAAATAGATCATTATCTGCTTTTGGCACCATATATCAGTTTTGACATAACTTTTTTTGTATTAATTAGAAAATCAAGATGAAGACCTCTATTATATTTTTGGATCCAAAAATATAATAGAGGTCTTCATCTTGATTTTCTAATTATGAAAAAATTTTAAATGGGTTAAGTGCAAAATTTAAACTTTTTCCAATAATTTTGGCTCTTCACTGCAGACCATGATTTGTAGGCCTAAACCCCTATTTTTTTAATTAGAAACCTGAAAGTTTTGTTTTAATCTCCCTTTTAAATACAAATAACATTATTGGTAATATTAACCATTTCCTTATAAGTAAACATTCAGCATTCATTGGTTGATATTTATAAAATCTTTCTATTAAGATCTTTCGGGGAAAACATGTTTCTCAAGTTTAATAACTATTATCACTCTTTTCAATATTGAAGAAGAATGACTTCATTTCTAAACTTTTGTTTGGAATAATGTGGGATGTCAACATCTTGCTTATGTCATTATTTTCTCTTTGAGGTCTGAATTTGTTTAAATTGTATTCAGTTGAATTAAACTGCTGTTATTCATATGATACAGAGTAAAGCAAATTCAAGCAGACCTTGGATCCCAAATCACAGCTGACTTTGAGGAAGCTTTCCAAGGACCAGCTGCAAAGGTAAACTTTGAATATGTCTTGTCATTATAATTTTATATCAATTATCAACCCTATTAAATTTTGTTTTGTGAACTTCTATGATGAGCATGTTACAAATAATATAAATTCACCCACAATTTATATTTTATTAAATTATGAAGGCATTTCTTTTTCACCATATACTCCAATCATGTCCCACATCTTCATTCAGGGAAAATTACATAATTCTTAGTTAAAATATTGAGTACTTAAAAAAAATGCCATTTCAGATGGAAATATGAAGCTCCAGAAACAATGAAACCCAGCAAATTTGTTGCCTGTTTCTTACTGACTCTACTTACTGTTCACTTTTACTTGCTTTCCACTTTCATTCTGAACATTTCCTCCTATGATTCTATGAAAAGAAAACTTCTTGGTCTTATCAAGAACCTATTAAAAAATATATATTGATATTTGTTCAGATTTTGGGAAGTGGGTTTGTCTGAAAACCTTTCAGCATTCCCTCATACATATAAATTTTAACACTACTTGACACAAATCAAAAGTAGACTTAGCCTTTTATGTATATATGTTCACATTTATCCACATACTAACATTTTCAAAACAAAAAGCATGTATTAGAATATTCAATTATTATTCATTTAACCTATCATTACCTAAGAATGCTTCTCATATTATTTAATTGTTCCTGATCTCTATTAAATTTTCTCTGCAAAAGCCACACTTATTCAATCAGTACCCTTCAGTATTACATTAATTATAAAATGATAAATTTTGGAATATAATCAGTAAAGACTATACAATATCTGGTTATGTTTTTGCATATTCACTTTAGCAAAATAAATTATAGACATTTTTCAAGCAGCCAAAAATATATGGCTAGACATCACATATGATCTAATTATTTTATTAGACTTCAAAAAAACTTCATGCATTTTATTTCCTTCATATTACTCACTTAATATTACAAGTTATTTGCTTATTTATTTAGTATATATTCATTTTCAGTATGGCCCAAGCAATTTGAAACAACTTGCAGAAGCCTGCTTAGTTGTCAATGTTCTTGACCCTAAGGTTAAGCGGGACATTCTAAGTTGGTTTGTCAAGTTGCAACTGTCAGAGTACACGGTGCTTTTCGCGGAAGACCAAGATGTAAGTGTTGATTTTAAGTCAATTTAAAAAAATATAGATATATTTCATATTTTTTTTTGTTTATTAGTATATGAGAAAAAAACGTTAATATAAGTATAATTAACTTGTAATGGAATTTTAAAAAGATATTTGTTTACCAAAAACATTGTTGACTTTATTTGACTGCATATCTACTAATGAAAAATACACTTAATTTTAAACAAAATTAATATTTTATATTATTTTTTTGCATTAGTGTACTAGCATATGAATGAATTATCCACAGGGTGTGAAACCATTTTGTTTATAATTGATTAATGTTTAGTAAAATAGTATTTTTATCCATTTTTAGGAAGAATATTAATTGCCAATCTATTAAATTGCATTAACTCATTCTTTTTGTTCCAATAATATTTTCTTCTTCCTACATTCAGGTTGCTTGGTTAGACAAGATAGATCGGCGCTATGCTTGGATCAAACGAGCTTTGGTAGAGTTTGAAGAAAAGTTTGGTCATATCTTCCCTATTGAGTGGGAAGTTAGTGAAAGGATATGCATTGAATTCTGTGAAATTACCAGGTATATTAACATATTAAATTTTAATTAGTTAAACTATACATGTCTATCTTTTACTCTTATTTAGTTTTTCTTGGCATGTAAGTATTTGTCTCTTGATAAATAATGTCTATTAAATACTAACCAGATTATCAAATTACCAACCAGTTTTATTTTAACTGATTTGCTTTCAAATACTGAAAAAAATTAATTTTTTAAACATCACATTTGTATGAATAAAGCTTCCATATCTTTTTCCATTCTGATGCACTAAGATATTGAAATTATTTCTCAAAATATGTTTGAATGTTTAGTCAGTTTATTTGTTATCCACTCTTCTATCTTGACATTTCTAATTCTTCAGGGCAAGATTATTAGCAACATGGCTGGTAAAACTGTGTGTAATGTATATATGTGTATATATATATATATATATATATATATATATATATATATATATATATATATATACATAATTTCTTGCAGCTTTCACCTGAACTTTAGTGAACTTTGTTTCTTACTTTAAGGCTATATAAATTGTTAAAATTTTTAGTCGCATGTACTTTGTTGAATCCATTGTAGAAAAATCAGACTTTGTTGAATAAAACTCAATAAAGTTGGATTCTTTTACAATATTCTGCTATGTTATAATTTGATTAATAATATTTGGTAAAAATTACTGAATAAGCCAAAAAGTTTTGTTTATTGTTAGGTTTCATGGTATCAATTTAATAGGGGATTAGGGACTAGTTATAGTCTTATCAGCCATGATGTTTGTAATTCAGCACTGAATACCTGAAAGTGTCATTACAAATAATAAAATTACTATACTCTTATCTGATAAATAAAATTATCAACATGAAATGGAAAAAAAAAAAACACATAACCTTGATTTAGTATCTGCAAAAGAAAAGGACAAATGCAGTATACATCCTGTAGAACAAGTTCCCAATAAGTTGCAAACAAGCACTGATTTGAATGCAAGACTTAATGCCTAACATGTAATTCCATTATACCATTCATATTAGCCATTTCATTGATGATTCTAACGGGTAGGTTGACTAATGGAAACTCTATGTGAAAAGTTTCTTATATCCAATGGTATGAAGTACCTCTGTTCAAATGCAGGTATGCCAAAGATAGTAAATGATTAGCTGAAGTATTGGATCACTGTTCAAACCATCATATCAAGATAAGTGAAAAGAAAGTGTGAGAACTTGTCTATTATAATAAATATTAGATAAATTTGATGGCAAATAGCCTTAAGAATCAACACTAATTTACTCAAATGTTCAATAATTGGATTGAACGTTTGAGATGGTCAAGTTGCCTTGATCAAATGACACCAGTCCACTGGAGTACTGTGTGAAATCTCTTTTCAACACAAAATGGTTGATTCTTTGTTTTAACAAAAAGTAGCATTAGTATGATGCTTGAATAACAAAGGTGTGAAATTTAACTAACATACTGGAACCAAAAGTCATACATCCAAGACAAAACAACCGCAGTAATATCCTTCTCATGGTGGTAATTTTATCAAAACTGTAATAAGGAAGCTTAGTCTTCCATCTCTAAAGTTTATCATTCATAATTTTTATTCAGTTGCTTAGTATCAAACACTAGTGTCATTGATTTCTGATAAAGGGAAGTGGCATGTGAGACCACTCTAGCATATGCCTCCTTTTCTATTGTTAGGTGTTTTTGCTCACTTGCATTTACTGTCTTGAAAAAAGCCACTGACTGGTCTATAAGCTTATTTTAGTTACAGCAATATTACAATAAAGAGAAATGTTTCATCACTAGAAGACATCACAGAATTTTCTATCTCTGCTTTCAAGCATTTAAATGCCTTTTTAACAATTTTTGGTTATGAAAATGTCTTCATTTGTATGAGAGGAGAAATTTTTTCACAATTATTGCTTATTTAATGGGAATAATATGAAACCATTGTGACTTCTTCATATCCTCATGTCAAGAGCGAGTAAGACAAAGTCTTAACGAAAATGTCAACAAAAAAATCACTTAGAATCAGGAAGAGACAGCTAGAGTTCCTTGGACAAATAATGAAGAAGCAGTGCTTGGAAACCTTAGCCCTCTCAGGACATATTGAGGGTAAGAGAAATAGGGGAAGGCAGTGATACTTCTACCTGATGAACTTGTATGAATGGATGGCTGAATATGACAAAGGGGAGCCTTAGTAAAAGGTGAAAAACTGCTAAGAGCTACAAGGGAGCGGAAGTTTTGGAGAGTCACAATCACCCATATCCTGAAGGGATATGGCACATAGAAGCATAATCTTTTACAATTAATATTTTCTTGGTAATCTAATGGTTTACTTTCACTTCCATAAAGATGTCTCATTAGGTTGAGATAGTGTCAATAACTGAATTTCTGCTGATCTAATGATAATTTTTCTTAAAGCTTATGTTGTTTTTTCTATATTGTTGTATATTATAATATCAGTTTACTTTTATTCTGAAAAATTCCTTATGAATTGTTTTAACTTTATCCTAAATGTACACTTTGAGTTATATTTTCTTAACTGTTTTATGTATGCATATTTAAATTCTCATTAAAATGTAGAAATTATTATAATACAAATCCTTTTATAATTAATATATAAAAATTTACACTTGCTTTTCAGGAAAGAACTGTCCAAAATAATGCCCAAGCGTGTGACAGAGATTGATGTGAAGCTTCTTTTATTTGCAATACAAAGAACCACTAATTTTGAGACATTGATTGCAAAACGATTTACTGGTGTTACACTACAAGAAAATCAGGTAAAGTATGGATTCTTACTTTTAGATGTGCAAGTCTATTATAAAATCAATAAGCTACTCTTTAATTTTTAATTTTTTTTTTTAATTTTAAGAGGAAGAGTATGATAATTCTTTATTTTCAGTGCATTTGCTATTTTGGCAATCTAAAGAACTTGATCACTTTCTGCTAAAAAAAAATTAGTTAACTTCTTGATTAAGATTTGTAGGTCCGGGAGTATATGAAAACTCTGGTAACTATGGGTGATCATCTGCTTGTGATGGTTCCAAAATTCCTCCTCCTTTGTTGGAATCACTTTCAGTCTCACTGTCACACACATCACCAATATCTGTGTGGATAAATCCGAGAAATTCTTAATAGGAATCAATGTAGAGAAAAAAGTCACAGTACAATAAAATTGGAAAAAAAAAAAAGAAGCACAACACAACACACAAATGTATACAACATGGAGGTCGATTCAGAAATTATTCCATTCAGGTTAACTTGGTTCAGCAATTTTGTTCGAGAACCAAGGCATTTTCATTTAGAATTTTCTGTTCGAAAACTGATTTGTTCAACATTTGAGATGTTCAAGAACTGAGGTTGCACTATATTACTATTATAATTGTTTTATATTGAAATGGTTGTGTATTTATTTTATATTTCAAAACTTCAATACTCCAGTGTTTTAATTAACCCATTTCCTGAAGATGTAACTTGTACAATCAAAAGTTCACAGATCCCTGTTCTCTTTATTTCTCTATTTTGTTTTTGACAACTTTACACTGAATGCTCAATAGAAAACTGATCTGAATTTTGTATTCAATAGCCCTTTATCCTGTGTTGAGGGAGTGGAATAACAATAGTGAGGTGGTGGGGGATGATTCATGTGTGACACTATATTATTGCATTTCAAGTTGGGCAAGATGGCAGCAGAAGCAAAGATGATTGATGGAAATGGTTCAGTGGGGTGTCATGAATAGTTTGCAAAGTTAACAAAGGTGAATTCAAAATTTGACTTGAAGGACAAATAACACAGCAGTAAACCACAAGAATTTACAAGTGATAACTTTTAGATGATGACCCCCACCCCCTCAACTATATAGACAAGAATATATCCATTTATCTTATTCATGAGAAACAATAAAAGAATAGTATTCTTTGGAATAAATTAATCAGGTTACATGATCTCTAAAGGTATCATGATATTATTTTCATATTGAACTTACATTCTCTACTGTGGGTGGGGAATATGAGGGGGTGCTGAAAATTTCTCAAAACCTGCTCCCCAAAATCTGTCTAAATAATTAAAATATCAATTGTATTTTAAAAGGTTTGTTGGCTGGGCTGATAACTTTTTTGGAACTTTTTTTTTTTTTTGTGTGTGTGTGTGTGTGTGTGTGTGTGTGTGTGTGTGTGTGTGTGTGTGTGTGTGTGTAAAGTGTTTTTTTTTTGTTTTTTTTTACACCTGGGAAAAGCATGTTTAAGTTACACATACTTTATAACTTCTTCCACTATTTTTTTTATTAACTACTAATATAATTGTTATTGTTATAGCCGCAACAACCATCAATAACACCAATGATAACTCCTACTAACCCTTTTGAGGAAAATGCTGGTTCATTTGAATCCACTAATCCTTTTGAAAATGAAACAGGAGAACCAATGGAAGAAACAAAGGTAAATAAGAGTATTGTTTACTAAAGTTTCATTTGTTATTTCAGTACATATTTAAATTTTTATTTATTTTATTCATTTATGTATTTCTTTGTGTTTTTTTTTTTCCACTTTGTTTTTTAAAATAGTCCTACCATTTTGAGATATCCTAGATATTATTTACTTATTTATTAATTTTACTGTTAACTTTTTTTTTTTTTTTTTTTTCAGGTTTTGGGACCAAAACCACCAACTTCTCCATTTGATGGCATAATTTCCAAATGCTTTGAACAACATCTCAATATTTATATTGAATCCCAAGATCGGTATATATTTGCATCCAGTATTATACCATTTAAGCTACCTTTGAATTTTTTTCTTGGTCATATTAGAAAGTGTCTTTACTTTAAGAATCAATTTCCATTTAATTTTTATTAGTTTGTACTTATATATATCAGTTACTAATAGAAAATGTTTATAAATTCAATATGTTTCACTTTTATTTAAACTGCATCAGAAATTTGATGAAATGAATAAAAGTGAAACTTGTTAAATTTATAAATGTTTCCTCTTTGTTCCTCATTCTATTGGATTTAATCCATATTTAATTCCAATTATATATATACACATACACACACACAAGTTTATTTGACATTTTGACATAAAGTATTTGATTGTGATAAAAAAAGAATAAAGAGTAGAAAATATCTTTTACTGTTTGAAATTGGACAGTCCATGAATAAACTAAATTAATTAGAACTGTAAATTTTAGATTTGAGAAAAATATATTATATTTTTACAAAGGTTATTTGTAAATTTGACATCAAAAATTACAAAAAAGGAAGAATTTATTAGTGGGGGTGGATGATACAATTATTTTGGATTATGTAGGATTCATTCATTTACATTAAATTTTTTTCTATTTTTTATTTATTTATTTAATTTTTTTTTTTTTTTTTCAGAAATTTATCTGACCTAATAACCAGATTTGTTGAAGACTTCCGTCAACATGGTAGTCCTCGTATAGAAGGAGAAGAAGGAAGCAATGTGTTGCCAAGCTGTGCAGATCTTTTTGTCTTTTACAAAAAGTGTATGGTTCAATGTTCCCAACTAAGCACAGGGCAGCCCATGTTGGATCTTACAAAGACATTCCAAAAGTACCTAAAGGAATATGCTCATCGAGTGCTACTAAGCAATTTACCAAAGTTAGTAAATGTTTGCAATTTAACATTCATGTTTCTCAAAATATTTTGTCTTTATTGTTCATTAATTTTTAAATGAATTTATTTTTTATTTAAGCATTTCCCCCCGAGCAGGGTGGGAGTGCCACTAGCAGGCAGGGGTTTACAGAGAGTGAAAATGAGAGAAAAGACTGGGTATAACAGGAGATTGAGGAAAAGATAAAAGATTAACAGGATCAAAGCAGCAGAAGATAGTGATTGACGTTGCATTTAAATTTTTGAAGATTATAGTTATCAGTGAAGCAAGTAAGAAGAAGGGAGTTCCACTGTTGGGAAGTCTGAGAAAAGAAACTGTTGGAGTAGAAGTGGCAGTAATATTTAACTATTTCAACAGTAAAAGGATGGGACCTAGATGCCAATCTAGTAGTATGCTTAAATTCATGTAGTTGGGGAACCAGAATAAAAAGCTCATTTTTTTTTTTTTTTTAAATTGTTTTATTTTTTTATTTTATACACTAGTTTGAACATTTATCATTTAGAATCTTCTCTCATTTTTCCCAGTGGGTGTGTGGCTATAAATTGATCACAAAAGATCAATTATTGTCTTAGAGATCTTATCAATTCCTGTTTATAAGTGATGTTTTCAAAATAAAAATGTCTATTGTTACTATTTACACTATTTATATTCAGACTATTGTCCTCATCTTTGTTGTTGTTATCACAATGTTTCGGTCACTGTAGTAAACTTAGAACCTTAAGCTACAGCAACAGGACAATGGCTTAGTGGGTAAAAGCATTGGGTTTTTTAATTTGATGACATATTGGCTGTAAGTTCAATCAGTGTACTCAGTGGAAATGGGCAAGCAATAACTTAACAGCACTAAATAAAAATAAGAACTAAATGATATACCTAGACATGAGCAGTGGAATGAGAACAGTCTACTCCTGTAGATTAAATAAAGGGTTCAGTTCAGAATGATCTAGATTGATATACGCCAGAAGAATGCTGGATGTCACATGTGATAAAAATAATCAAAATATAAATAGTGTAAATAAGGATAACTTATTATCCATTACTCTCTAACAAAAAAAAAAATTGATCAGTCTTGGGTAAACCTTCACTTAAGTGGGGTAAAATAAACTGTTACTTCCTGAATGGCGTAAAATGAATAAGACCAAGTTATATATTATTATAATTAAACATTATTACAATGAGTAATGGTGGACTATGCAAATTATGAAAACATGGGGGACTGTTATTGTACTGCAGGATCCACAAAATGCTACTGATGAATGATAACGTCCTGAGAGTATATCTTGTGGTTGATTTCCTTGATTTCAGTTTAAGCAGCCCAGCTATCTGAGACAATATGATTTCCAGGCTGAGTATAACGCACGATCACCTCTTCAGAGTCTCTGCTCACTGATTCGGCACCTCAGCTAAGAAACACTTTCTTGAAACTCTGCTCGATGCCACCAGGATGCCATTGGCCATGGTGATATTTACAATGAAAAAAACGTTTAAAGATAGTTTATTATATGCTTTTTAAGTGAAGCAGAACTTTGACAGATTGTTTTATTCTGCTTAAGTGAAGGATTATCCAATCTCAAATTTTTTACCTTTTTTTTTTTTTTTTTTTTTAAATAAGAAAAAGTAAACATTTTGTTTTTTAAATGCAAACACATAAAAATACTTGACTATTAAAGAAAGTCATATTTTATTATTCTCAATGATGGAGTTCAGATTTTTGTTTGGGGACACAAATGATAAACTTTTCTTCATCTTTTAACAAGTATTTTAATTTCAATTCTTATCATAATTCTTAAACTGTCATTCTAAGCAACATGGATCAGGAATAAAGAATAAGCCTTCAGCAAGATTTGAAGTTACATCTGTTTTCTTCAGGAAAAGTGAGTCGTATCAGAGGCTTATTCTTTACTTTTAATCTACATTGCTTAATAACAGCTGTAGAATTGTTGTTAAAAACTGAAATTAAGATGAAATACTACTTGTAAAAATAATCATAATTGCCAATGTTTTATCTTTTATAAATTCATATAATGCAACATTTTGTCTGTGTGTCCTCACCTTACATCAGTAAGTTATATGTCATTGTTAACATGTCATAAATTCACCATCAATCTTTTATTTATATATATATATATATATATATATATATATATATATATATATATATAATAAAAAATTGCATTTACAACATAAGCAGTAACATTTAATTTGCATAACAATTTTGAAAAGCTTATTTTAATAAATATTTAATCTGTGTTATTTATGTTTAATTCAAATTTAAAAAATTGCCATTTATAAGTAATGTTTCTGTTCTGTTGAAATTTCTTAAATTCATCATGCTTGTATAGAAAAAATTATGTTTGTCTTGTCAAAATTCAGTTGTAAGTTAACAGAAGATGTATCAATGTTTACATTTAACAAAAATGTAAAATAAATGTCATCTTCATTTTAAAAAGACATTTTTTAATAAAGACATAAGGTAAATCATTTAAAAAATATTAATTTTATAGAATTCTATAATCTTAAAATCTGGCAACATTATTTACCTTATTTCCTGCAGAATTTGTACAAACCAATATTGTGTCTAACATTACACCTTATGACAAATTAGTCAATTGGAGCCAAGAAAATTTACAAAATGATCTAAATAAATCTTCCAATTCTACTCTTGATTCATCTAGAATATTTCTGCCTGACTTTCCACTGAGTCTCTACTGTGTGTGATATTGCATATAACTCCATCTATTGTTTCTACTATCATCTCTATTCTTATTTTTACAGAATGTCTTGTCAGACTAGTCACTTGTCAGCAGCCAGTGGCCTCATCCAAAGTATTTTGAAAGAAGGTGAAGTTGCTAAGTTTACTGAGGAGGAACAGTGTCGAGCCTGTAGCATTCTATGCACTGCTGAATACTGTATGGAAACCACACAGCAGTTGGAAAGCAAACTTAAAGAAAAGGTAGATCCTCCTCTAGCAGCCCAGATAGACCTTAACACTGAACAAGATCTTTTCCATAAGTAAGTATTACGAGGACATTTTTCAGTTTGTTTATGAACGGCTGCTATATGAAACCTTCCCTTTGTCTGATAGTATGAAAAAGACATTAAATTTCTGATAGATCTTTGGTTCATTTTTTTTAACTTTAAAATCTTATTTAAAATGCAGTCAATATTTTTAATATTAAATGTTATAAATCTTTGTAATTGCTAGAAAACCATTTTATTGTAGGTAAATGTGTGAATTGATTTTGATTTATTCAACAATCTTACTATTTTCCTGCAGCAATGTTGCCACATATATTAACCAAAAACTCTCTAGAATATTTACTGCTATAAGTTATATCATTCAAACATTTTCATTATTCAAACTTACGTTTAGCATGTGAAATCTAAATTTCGTAAGCTGTAATTTTTGATAGATTTCACTATATGCAAAAGTTCAAAAAGAGAATTCATAGGAAGATTTTTTTTGTTTTACAGTGTTTGTTAAATGCAAAAATTTTCTCATTTTGAAGGAGGTGAGGAGGTGCTGAAGGTTCTCAGCTTGACATACTTCCTAAAATCTAACCAAATGACAATTTCTATATTTTTATTCTTTAAAAGGTTTCTTGGTTGCACTGAGAATGTTTCAACACCCATTTGCATAAACATTTATTATAGTTTGAAGAAGAAATTTATGAAAATTTAAAATTTATATGAAGCAGTATTTTTTTTCTTTTTCATCACTTTTTTTCTTTTTCACCACTTTTTTTTTCTTTATAGTGTTATTTCTAACTGTATTGCATCTTTGGTCCAAGATTTGGATTCTGCTTGTGAACCAGCATTAACTGCTATGAGTAAGGTAAGTGGATTTAATCTAAATTCTTCATATAAGCAAAATTAACAATTTTATTCTCAAAAATAGATATTTTTAGTATTTTTTTTATATAATCAGTGGTCACCCTGTTCATAAAATTAAGTGACTTCTTTACAAATTTTTCATGTATGGAAATATTTTCTAATCTTCATAAAAATACTTATGTTCTGTAAAACCTGATAGCTAAGCTTAGTAAATAACTATATATATTTTTTTTTTATTAAAGTTCTCTCACTATAAGGCTTAAGAGCAACTCAAGTTAGAGGGTTACTGTTAAATTGTTTATGAGAATGAGATGTGCAATATGAATGAAGTAAGTAGTAGTATAAAATGAAGATTGAGGATAAGGAGGATAAATAAAGATTGACCTTTGACTTAAAGAGGTTCAGACTGAAGTTTTCAGGGAAGCAACCATGTGTGAGTCTGTTTCACAAAGTAGCATTTTGGGGATGGATGTCTGAGTAGAACTTCTTTCTGACATTTGGAACACAGAAAAAAATTAGGGTGATTTTGACTCCATGGAAATAATGTAGCATGTTTTAGTTGTAAAAATCTGAACTAGCGAAAGTAAAGACCTATCTGAACTTTTGCAATGGAAATAGCAAGGGACTTGCAACATTGTGTTTGTGGGAAAAGTGACTGCTGATTGGAAAATGAGTTTCCATGAAACTGCATAAATGATTTTAAACACAATCAAGGCTGGAAAGTAAGGACTGAGCAGCTCCAGCCCAGATATGACAGCAATTAGTATTCCATTTTTGGCCTAATCTGACTTTTGTAAAGAAAAACATAGCAAAAGGAACACTGGTACTTCCTGGAGCAATAGAATGCTGACCATTTTTTTCCATATATATATATATATATATATATATATATATAATATACACTCCTGAAAAAGATTATTTTGGTTGAGCTCTCTGGGAAGAAAGTGTGAGTTTGTAAACAGTGACTATTACTGCTACTAATGCAATACTCTTCAATAAAATGAATTGAGTTCTCTCTGTCACTGGTGTGTTTATTTAAAAATAAATACGTTTAAATTCACCATCCCTGCTGTGCGCCAATGGCTTAGTGGTAGATTCTCTGACTGACGCCAATTCAGCCGGCTTCAATCCTAGCTAGAGGCAACCAAACATCTATCCACACTGATGAGCTGTGATACAGTGAAACAGTCTGTCTGTCAATGACAATACACACACACACACACACACACACATATATAATCAGAGATGTGCGGTTTAACCAAAAAGACAACTTTTTTCGGTTTCATCTTCACACCGTGAAACTGAATCAAAATTTTTTATGAAACCAAACGATTTCAGTTTTGTTTTTATATCACTACTGAGTGACCATATCCAAAGAAACATTATTGAAAAAGACTTTTAGATGTTAATAAAATTAAATTTCATCAACATTTATACCATTGTAAAAGCTTGAACAAAAATATGTTATTAAAAACATTTAATTGACTAGTTTTAGGAAATAAATGTGAAATATATTTGTTTACAAAAGAAATGAAGAAGAAAAAAAGGAGATATGACATGATGTCTGAAATCTATTTGCTTCAGTTTCAAAAAAACTTTTTGCAGTAAAATTAAGTTTACAACAAAATAGCAAGTAAAAAAAAAAATAGTTGCCAGTTTTTTTAATGTTAAAATTTAACATTAAGACGAAAGGGCTTCAAAATAAACAAAATCAAAACATTCATAAAATTTTAAGAGCGACAAATATTCAAATATGTATTTCTATTATCGGCTTATATTATAAAATTTATCTATTTATAAACATCCATTTTTTTTTTTTTAACATTTACTGTAATCACTTAGATAATGTAATACTGGATAAATAAAATAGTTACACATTTTCCATTCTTAAATTTTAGAAAATTTTTAATTTTTATTTTTTTTTAATTTTCAGATGTCCTGGTCTACTGTTGAAACAGTTGGAGACCAAAGTGGTTATGTGACAGCTATTACTACACACCTAAAACAGAACCTGCCTATCATTAGAGATAATTTAGCTTCTTCAAGGAAGTATTTCACACAGTTCTGTGTTAAATTTGCCAAGTAAGTAATTTTCTCTATCCATTTATAATTGTAAAAGATATAGAAATGTTAAAAAAAAAAGCATCATGAATATTTTTTGTTTCTTCATTTTTTATAAATGCTGAATATTATTTTTTAAGGAGTTATTAAAAGCATGACATTTCTTTGTTGATTCTAGTTGATATATTATTTTTGGTTATACGACAAAACTTTATTCAGCTGTTTTTTAAATCAAAGGTTAACATTGAATCTTTCACTGTTTATTTATATTACTTTTATTTCAGCACATTCATTCCTAAATTTATCAATCATCTATTTCGTTGTAAGCCAGTTAGTACAGTGGCTGCCGAACAGGTAAGTAATTATTTCATCTGTTATCTGATATTTCACTTGTTTTTATTTACTTATTTTTTTTAATTAACCTAAAAAGATTTTTCTACTACTTTTCTTTTTATTTTTTTTTTTTTTTTTTAAACTAGATATAAATCTTGGCATTGTTAGGATAATGGCTGGCCACTCATATCCAAGTGTGCTATAGTGGCTAGCAAATCTCTATTGCAGATGGCTGCTCAGGCACATTTTGTATTTGTTCAACACCCACAGAGCCCACCTGTGTTTTATACTGCAACTATGCTGAACAAACTTTAGTTACAGTTTCTAGGAGTGAGCACATTAACTGGCACGATCAACAATTTGATCAAGGCCAGTACATTCAAACCCTCTCTCATGATGACTTGTGACTTTGTGCTGGAACAACCATCAAACAATTGTCTACTCAATTTCAGTCACAAGGCTCGGGTCAATCTTTGGTATTGTTTTCAGGTACTTTCCAATGGTGCTGCATGCTAGGATCACCTCTCCAGCTTGATAACAGCAAAAAATCACTTTCCTAACAAATCAACCATTGTGAGCCAGTGTTAGGATGGTATAGTCATAAATAGACAAAATCCAGTGCCCATCTCCTTTACTTTGTGAAACTGATGAAATTGTCCATCAGTTGATTCTTGCATTTGTTTGGTTGATTCCTCAGTAGCATAAGCTCACCCATGCTTCTGTTTGCCTTGAGGTTTCTTGTTGAATTTTGTCTGTTTTGATTTCAACACAATTTGGGGTATGTGCTCTGGGGATCCTCATGATACATCTGTTAGGAATATTATACTTGAAAGCAATACTCATTTTTCGTTTTTGAAATTATTGAAATCTATGCAAGGGAAAATCTATTTTACTAAGAAAAATTTTTTTAAATATTAAGCTTTTTTTTCCTGATATTTATATACAACGTTACTGAATGTTATGAATTTTTTATAGCAGCATAAAGGTTTTTGAAATACAACATCAGTTTTATATACAGAAAAGTTTTTAATCTTTTGCATCATAATTTTCTGTTTTTAGAAATTTAGTCATAATTTATATCAACATAATGTGATTGCTTTTTATAGTACTAGTTCATACATTTGTACATATCTATTAAGTTTTAAAATGATTAAAATACTTTTAGAATGAAAAATGGCATAAAGAACTTGCATTCATTTGTATGTATTCATACATAATTTTGAAAATTATAATCTACTTTAATGTACATTTAACTGTATTTTTGAAGTTTGATTAAATCCTGTGCATTGCCATAAAAACTTTGCTTTTCTGTGTAGCTCCTTTTGGATACTCATTCCTTAAAGACTGTGCTTCAAGATCTGCCTTCATTGGGTTCTCAAGTTTTACGTAAGGCTCCTGCTAGGTATGACATCTCTTTCTGATTTTTATTTTATTTCGCTTACCAATCTCTAGAAAGTTGAAACATCATAAGGTTAATGTTAGTCATATAAGTATCCATTAAATTTAACATTTTTCTAATATTGATTGCCTTGTTATTGTTCTGGAGAAAAGAATAGTATAATGGTTAATATCTGCTATTGTTAAATAGATGTTAACACTGCTTTTTTTCACTTTTCATAAGACTCTTATTTACATATCATGTGAGTGCACTTACTTCTCCACTGTGCTTTATGCATATAACTTAAAATTGAAGGAACAAAACTTTGAGGATCCTATTGCCTAATACAGTGTAACCCGGATATAAGAGAGATTTTCTCTGGTCCCAAATTAGAGCCCGTGTTAATGTATATAAAATAGACCAAACCCAGATATAAGAGAAACCCGGATATAAGAGACTTCTTCTCCGGTCCCGACAACTCTCTTATATCCGGGTTACACTGTATTGATTAATGCACAGAAGGGAGATTACTGAACTTATACAATTTATGTAGAGAAAAAGCCAAACTAAAATTTTCCAATTTTTCATTGTCTTTTTCTTATCAAAATCCCATTTTGTGAAACAGGTATTTAACAGTCCAGTTTTTTCCTTGAATTTTTTAAAAGTAATTTATATTAAAAACATAAATTTAATAAAATTACCATAGAATTTAGTTATTGTCAAATATTGTTAGATTTTGAAAATACTAAAAAATGTCCTTACAAAACTGTCAAGTATAGTTGTTGATAATTAGAAATAAATTTGCATTTATTTAATTTCTTCTGCATAATTCAGTTTTTATTGGCTTATCAAATTGTTTATTATAGCTTCATATATTTTATCTTGTTTCAGTTTCACTAAAATTGTCAACAAGGGGATGACAAAAGCAGAAATGATATTAAAGGTAAATTTATTTAAGGTTTCCTTTCCTACCTGAATCTTTACACAGGTAAATACCACCTTTAATCTATCATGCAAGTTGTCCACAGGTGTGACTTATTTGATTAATCCTCTTTGTAATCATTGAAATAAATGATTTCTGACTTGATAAATATTTTTTGTAAGATTAATCTATGTCAGATTTACGGAGCCTTGAGAAATCAGCCAACAAACAATAGCTTTTGTGACTATAATCTTCACTGTATACTAATATGCTGATAATAAGGAATAAAATTCTTTATTTCAACCTCACAACAAAGTACAATTTTTTCCATCTTTAGTAAGAAATATATTTCTCACAGTAATGTTTTCCTTAGTTAAAGGAGACCTTATAATGAAGAGACATTTTATTAATAACCTTGAGGTAAAGGCTACCATTTTAAAAACCAAAATGAAAAATCTGAAGTCTATATACATTTTGGTTTGGTCAATAGTTTTCTTGTTATACAGCTGTTTCAAAGAAGAAAATTAATTTAGAATTTGTTACTTCAATTTTTTATTCATAAAGACAAAAGAACCAAAATTATTAAATTTTAATATAAAATAACTCATTATACTTAACTAATATTGTAATCTTTGATTTTAGATGGTGATGTCACCTCATGAGCCACCTCAAGCATTTGTAGACAATTATATGCGACTGCTCACAGAAAATGATGTGTTAGAGTTCCAGAAAGTCTTAGAGATGAAGGTAGGTTCAAAGATACAAAATACTAAGTTTTGGGATATGTTTTTTACCATTGAGGATGTTTTATTGTTGTGTTAATATTTCCATATTTATTATGATTGATATTTCCATTGATTTATTTTCTGATTGTTTTCAAGTACAGTTGTATGTGATTTAATTTCAATGTTTTTATTATTTTTTTTTTTTATTTTTTTTAACCTGCATATTTTGTTTACTTGACAATTGAACTTTTCCTCCTCGGATGATAGTTGCCTGCTGATCTTTTAGGCTAATTTGCATTTTATTCTTCTATCACAGAATCAGTTATTAAGTACTTGCTGCCTTAATTGTTGAATTATCCAAGTTCACAGGACAGAAGTGAACATGTGTATAATATATACAGTTATCAATAAATTTTAACTATGGTTTTATATTTATCAGTAATGGGATGTGTGGGTGGTGCGATGGATAATGGCTTGGAATGAGAAATTGGAGAGCTGAGTTAAAATTTCTGTTGAGTTTTTGCATTTACTTACACACAAATACCCTTGGGAAAAGTATGAAACCAACACTTCTCCTCTGCTCCACGTCTATATGTTAAATAGGATAGACTGGTTGCCAAACAATACTATAAGACCCAGTCTAGTGGAGAATTTGATTGCAGGAATTCTACCAAATCATTTCTATATTGAAAAGATACATTTTCACCCATGTGTGCATCACATATGGCACCTAAAGAAGGAAGATTAACAAAAATGCTGATTAAATAGTAAAATTATTCTAATCAAGAAGAATTTATTTCCAACTCAATATTATTTACAAATAGAATTTATAGTTTCTTATGATTTATTGTTAAAATAAGAATGACTTCTACAGAAGTAAATAATTATTTTTTTTTTCTATTAATGCTTGTTTCATGTTATCAATTCTTTTGTCTTCAGGCCCTCAAACGCAGTGAGCAGAATACTTTACTTGAGATGTATAAAGCCCGGCTGCCATTTAACAATTCAAGTGGACATAATAATGAGGTTCAACGAAACAACCAAGTGAATGTTTCTCCAATGCCAACAACTTCTACTCCAGAGGTAGAATCAAGTCGAATCAGAAGACTTGAAAAATTAATTAAAAAGAGATTGTAAATTGAATCTTTATTCAAAATCTTTAAAATTTAAATGTGGACATAAAAAAAGACAAGATTTGTAACAAACAAATTTACATGTCAGTTTTATATTCAAATATGTAACACTTAGTAAAGGCATGAAGAATTTATTATACATATCAACATTTGTACATTTACTCAAGGGAAAAACAAAAGCAAAAATGTACCACTACTGGCACTTTATACACACACATGCACACACACTTTAAAATAAAAATGGGGAGCTATTTCTAAGGCTGTGACTTGCAGCTTTTGATGTTGCAAATTTGGCTGTACTTTCATCTCACACAATTCTGTTACAATTAAATTAACTATTGTTCAATGTAATTTTCATGTACAGAATAAATAAAACCAAGAATTTCTAAGTGGCTTCATGTAAACAAAAAAAATAAAAATGTGTTGAGTTTTTATTTGTTACTAAAAAAGATTCTGTTAACATTTGAAAACACTACTGTAATATGAAATCTATATTAATATTAGAAGATTCTGATTGGGTATTTGTTCCATGATCATGTTCAAAAAAAAATCCAAAGAAGCCTAAATTTTGGCACAAAGCCTCACAAGACATCCAATTGTGACATAGGCCATGTGAAGTTAACATTGATCATTCCAATTCACTAGAGGTCATTCAAGAGTCCAGTATGCCATTTCAAGGATATGGGAATGAAATATTGAATTTATAAAGTACAATTTAGTTAATATCATATTTCATTTTGAAAGTACAATAGGTTGTGGGCTTTTTATATATAGTGCAGCCAAACAATTACATTGGAGATGAATTTGTATATGGGAGTGGGATAACTTGGGCAGAAAAAGATGTGAAGTGGTGGTGTGTAGAATAAGTGGGCATGATTAAGAATAATTGACAAAATTCTTAATAAAAGAATGACAAAATAATACAAATTTATATATATATATATATATATATATATAAATTATTTTTTTTTTAAATATGATTCCATCATGACACAGAAATGACTGTTTTAAAACTGGTCATCTGTATTCAAGTTTAATTTTAATAGTAAACCTTAATTTCTGTGTTGTGATGGAATCATATTTTTAAAAAAATAATTATAATTTAGGCTCTACTTCTGAATCGAGCAGTTTTTTTAAAAATGAAAACAAAAATAATAAAGGACTTAGGATCATCAATCTAACAGTTCTTTCGTATTATATCAATACACACACACACACACACACACACACACACACATATGTATGTAAAAATCCATAGGTAAGTAATCCAAGTAGATCCTAATAAGAGAGCTCAATATTTTTATTATAGAGCATATAAATGAATTACATAAAAACGAAACTCTTCATTTTGATGGTCATTTCACCCCCTCCCCACTGGATAATCGCCCTGGGGTTTGTCAATGCTAAGACATTTGTTAAAATTTTATTTATACACACATTGGCATGCAATAGTTTTGAACCTAATACATAAAATGATTATGCACCCTCATTTTATTATAATTTGGCAGTATACTTTTATCAGTCATGTCTGTGGACCTTGTGAATTGGAAAATAAATTGAATTTTCATAGATGCCATGTAAGATAGACTGAAGCTGAAAAAGTCATGCAAAACTATTGGACCAATGAAAGATCTATGATGATAATCATGATAATATGCAAATTTATGAGTAGTAATTGTTCCATCTTATTAATAAGTATAAGCTGCCTTGGCAAATAATTGAAGTTGAACATTAGCTTGCTTTTTTGACACTAAAATCATGGCTCAACTAAAAGGTTTCTTGTAGATGATGTTCAATTTTTGGAAGACTGGCCAGCATAAAATTCTGATCTTAATATAATTGAACCATTGTGGTGGGAATTGAAGAAACTTGTGCTCCAATGAAAACCACATAATCTCCAAGAGCTCTGGGATTACTGCGAAGAAGAATTGGAAAAAAAATTTCCAAAGAAAAAATCTAGACCTTATCCCATTCAACGCCACATTGAATTGAGGTAATTATTCAAGCCAAAGCCAAACACTAATTACCAACTCCATACTTTGATGTTTTGTACTTTCTTTAATAATAAAGATCTTTGAAAATAAAAACTAATTCCTTTTTAACTTAAGAAAAGAGTTGAAAGGTGAAATTTTTGCAGGTAGTTCAGTATTTTTGCATTACCTTTTTTTCAGTATCATTATGCTTAAAATGCTCTATCACCCAACATACAGCATTAATGAAAATACAGTAATTTGTTTTCAGGATCTCAAATTTACTGAGAAAAGCATACTGTTAATCACTTGATTTGGAGGTAAAAGTAACAAAAACAATTAATTTACCACGGTGGCCCAAAAGTTTTGTGTGTGTGCATATGTGTGTATGTATGAATATATATATATATCGAAATATGGGGAAAACAATATATAATTTTGAAAAGTTTTATATATCAAGAACAATTTTAGGGGAAAGAAGTATGAAAAAGTAGAGAAAGTTTTTGTGTTATATGTTTTGTCCTTTAGGACTGCATCAGACAGTTTACAATGATATAACTACACATGCATAAATGAAAGAGAGATGCTGTGAATTTTAAATTTAAAACAATTTTTGGAAACAAACGAAAAGAATCTGAATGAAATCAGCTAGATTATATACCCAAAACATATTTAAAATAAAAAAAAAAATTTAATTTTAAATTCACAGTGTCTCTTTTATTCATGCACATGTATAGTCACTTTTTTTTTTTTAAAGATTTTCACCCCAAGCAAGGCGGGAAGCCACTAGGATGCAAGGGGTTACAAAAGATTTAGAGCAAGATCAGATAGGAGTGATAGAGGAAAGGATGAGGATAAGGATAGTGGATAGATCAAGGCAACTGGAGATGTCGATTGACATTACATTTGAATAGTTGGAGATTATAGCTCTCAGGGAAACTGGAATAGGGAAGGGAGTTCCACAGGCGAGAGGTGCGAGACATGAAGCTATTGGAGTAGAAGAGTAGTTTTGACAGTGAAAGGATGAGAGCGGGATGCCAGCCTCGTAGGGTGCTTGAACCCGTGAAGTCTGGGAACCAGAAACATGTACTTAGTCCGATGAAATCCTGAAGGACAAAATGCATTACGCAAAAACGTTTTCCACTTTGTCATAAGGCAAATCAAAAGCAAAGCAACTTTAAGACTAATAAAGTAAAAAGTTTACAAAATAGGAATAATGCTCATACGCAAAAGGGATACAGTAAAATGGTTATAACTGTTTGACTTCAAGCTAAGAATGAAAGAAAAAATGTGGGGATAAAATCAAGAATTGTTTATTTTTTTTTATTGTGTAGGAAGAAATCCTATTTTCTATTTGTGATATTGCATTCTTTTTGACAATGCAGATTTGTAGATTCAATTCTTGTGTTCCAGTTTCTGACACTATACCTATTTTTTGTTGTGAAAACAATGTGGGAACTAAGCATTTGCAGGAAATTTTTTCAACTGAACCTACATTGATTTTGTTGTGTCTTACCTTGTCCCATACGGATGAGGAAAACATCTGCAGGGTGGTGAATACCTTTTTCAAGAACTCTGGAAGGGAAGCAAATAAAAGACAAGACCCTCTAAAATAGTGAGTCAAAGAAGGAGACAAAATCTCCAACTGAAAATAAGGGAGAAACACCTGGAGTGACCACATTTATCTGGAGTTCACCTTCCTGTATCATAGATGTGAACAAGTCCATGAAGCAAGTAAAAAAATATGTATAATATAAAATCTCATAATACCAGATGGTCTAATAGTATATAGTGGTATTCGGTTAAAATGAACAGTTGATTTACCCACACCAAGAAGATTAAAGAAGAATGATAATAGCGAAGAAACAGGTAATTTTAACAAATTTAACAAAACAAGATTAGGAATTTATTCAAAAATTTACACTTACATTTAGTAGTGTAACTAGCTTGTTTCAGGAAAATAAATCAAAATTCTTAAAGACTGTAGTTTTAATGTCATGGAGAGGAAATGTTCATACAACAGATTAAATGATCTGAGACAGAAGGTATGAGAGTTCATTACTGAAAAGATATATGGTTTGCATGCATTCAAAAGTAGGCCAAGAGAGTTTGAAATACTTAGCTTTTTTGGATTGTTGATAGAAAATTCTTTGAAATGCTCCAAGCTGGTTAGAGGCTGATAATATAATTGGCAAGTAATTTTTTCCTAGTGAGTACTTCAACACTTATTGTGAGGAATTAAGACAAAACCTTTCACGTGATTTCAGTCACTCTTCTGATTAATTTTTCTCCTCATTTTATATAAAAAAGAATTTTGTGTAGGATCACTACTTTCTTTCCTTCTTCTTCTTATAATTCTGTGAAGGCAAGGTTTTCATTGGTCCAAAAACAATTTCATATAGGTTCAAAAATTTCTTTCGTCTTCTTGACTCACCAGTTAATTTCTGTGAAAAGCAAAAATCCCACATATTCTTTCCTTCCCCTCAGTCTTCCTAATTTGAAGGGAGTAGGTGAAGGGAGTTATTATTTTGTACTCACTACGAGTAGAGATAGAATAGTTAAAAACCGCTGAGAGGAGGATCGTTTCACTATTGTGGATAAAAAGTACAAGAAGTCGCCAAAAGAATATATTATAAAGGCTTTAGTGGATCCAGGGATCCAAATTCAGCAAATCGTGAAAGAGAGAGCTTTTACAGCACCACTCTCACGAAGAGAGACTTACAAAATCAGGAATGTATTTTCAGGGTGGAGTATCAGAGACAAATACAAACGAAAGTTAGGCGCATTCCTAGCACAATACGGAGACTGTAGAAGTTAACCCAAATGAGCGAATGGAGATTCAAACTGATGATGAACAGAAAGGCATTCAATGACATACCCAATTGGTTGGACGTAAATGGACAAAAACTACCGGTCGTTTCTGGAAGGAAACCAGCCAACTGGCACTGCGGGGAAAAGTGTTACTTATCCACAAAGAAAACAACAGTTGATCATCAGGATGTAATTCCGTGTATCACACTGCAACAACAGAAAG